GGAGAGGAGAGGAGAGGAGATGTCATTGTTAATCTAAGAGAATAAAACAAAGCTGCTGACTGTCATAAGCACTTTTCCCTCTGAGTGCATATTTGACAGCACTGTGTGACAAAGAAGCATTTAGAAAGAAACACAATGTTAAGTCAATGACAGATAAGACTCCAGTGTTGGGTGTGAATAACTCTTGTTACCTCATTTCACTGTTTTTTCTCAGAAGACTCCAAGAAGACTCTTCTCTGATCCTGCCCATGCACATTTGCCAAGTCTCCAAACAGCTTTAAAAAACCTCACTGAGGAGAGACCACCAACTTTACGATTTCTTGCAGCTCCCACTGTACATTTTATGGGTATTCAGCAATGCTTTCCTAATGCTGCAGAAATTTCTCTTCTCTTTACTAGCACTAGACGTGTTTCATCAGCCGTCTCTCACTTTCTCCTCTCCTGCCTATATTCTCAAATTGCTGATTTTTAAGACGTATTTTTCACAGAACTATAAAAATAGTGGATTTCTTTTTCCTTTTCATTTTTTTTCAGATCAGGGACAGGACAAAAGTTGAGCCTGCCAACTTTGTTACTTTTTATTTCTTTTCTGTTGTTGTTGTTGTTTAAATACTTCATAATAAAAGAATGTGCTCCCAATGGAATTTTTACTGCAAAGAAGAAAAGTTCTCCCATTCTCCTATCCTACATCTTACACGCTTCAAAACACACAGCAAAATTCTATACCTGTAAGAAGGAGGGCTGCTCAGGTGCTGTCAAACCATTCATGATAAAGTCATGGTACATGGCACATATTTAAAAGTTAATGGAAGAAGGATTAAGGCTGCATCTCCATAACGCCTGGATGACTCAACTTCACATTGACAGAATCAGTGTGCCAATTGCAACCAGACTTTCTGTTTTTCTTCTATAGTAATTGAAAATAATTCCCCTCGTCTGAAGAGAATGCTGGAAAATGTACATGGGAGCACACATCCCTTCTTAACAAGTGCAGAACCCTAGCTTTTCACAGCATTTGGAAATGACTTTCTGGTTTTCAGAAAGTACAAAGCCATCACCAGCTGTATCACCCTTCAGAAAAGTTCAGGATGCTCTCCTGAGGATGAAATCCCATTTGCTGTCCTCTGTTTTGGAGCCATTTTGCCATCACTTGCTGCCCCCTACCTTGGGAGATGAAGACAAGCCAAGATCACAAACAACATCTACTGTTCAATCTTGTCACTTAAACATTAGACTGTTTCAGCTTCCTTCTCCTATTTATTTATTACTTTTTAAAAAGATATTATTTGAAGAAACATTCTTGAGTTTCACAGCTATGTCTTCCAACTCCACCAGTTCCAGCAGACAGGTTTAGGAGAACAGATAGGTTTCGGAAATGGCACTGCAGCATCAAGGCAAGCTCTGCCCCTTACTGGATCCGCAGTGCAGTCAGAATCACAGAATCAGAAAGTTGGAAAAGACCACTAAGATCACCGAGTCCAACCACCAACCCAACCCCACCATGCCCACTGCCCCCTGTCCCTCAGTGTCCCTCAGAAATTTCCACATTTCTTGAACCCCTCCAGGGACATCACTGACTCCACCACCCCCCTGGGCAGCCTATGCCAATGCCTGACCACTCTTTCTAAGAAGATTTTTTTCCTCACATCCATCCTGAACCTCGCCTGGCATAACTTAAGGTTGTTACCTCTTGTCCTTATCCATGACTTTGAGTAACTCAGTGCCAGATGATGGTGGAGTGAGAGGTTAACACTTCTTCAGCAATAGTCCGCTCAGGATTTTACCCACACTCTCACGCCCTCACAATGGACTAGCAAAGGGATTATGTTCTTATTTATTTACTCATGAAGGTTGAGGTAACAAAGTTGCATGGCATGCCTCTTGGTTAGTGCTTGTAATGAAGCTAATTACTTGATGGTTCTTGAAATTGAAGAACAACCCCTTTCCTATCCTACAAGAATGTGGCCACAGCTAAACCACGTCACAAAACATCTGCTGTATTAAACAGGGCTGGGTTGGGTCAACTTTACTCACCCAAGAAAGGGCAATAGGGGCATCCTTATTGCTTGCACCAGCTTAGCTCTGCTATCAGTGAAAGCTCACCTTGTGTGTACCAGTGCTCTCCAAGACCTGAATCTGGGAATACATGCCCTATAGGACACCACAGGGCTGTTAAAATGATGCAGCTCTGAGCAAAGACAAGGCTGATACTGAGTGGCCAGAAGACAGGAAAAAAGTTTCTTTGCTCCTCATAACCACAGCCCCACTCCCCTGCACTTCTCTCCAATGGGCAGGCAATTCCCTCCATCTGTTTTTCACCTCATGTCATCATTTTGGCACACGGGTATCGTGCAGCAGAATGAGCTGCTACCCCCATATGGCACACAGCAGCTGGCACAGAGCTGGGATTTATTGACATTTTGTCCCCAAAACACAAAGCCATGCTCCTCCAAGCCAGGATACCACACATCACTGTAGTGATTTCTGTGAGCAACATGGGCAACGTGAGCTCAGGCATTGCTGCTCATCTCCTTCACATGGGGCTGGTGTGCCAAAGGGATCCAGCGTCCTGCTTGTTTCAGTTAAAGAGCAACTTTCGGCTAAATAACTCTGCAGACGAGGCAGTGGAGACCCTTTTAAAGCTCTCTCCCCTTGGTTTAGCTTTGAATAAGCTTTGATTTCAATCACCTCTAAGGCAAAGAGCAACAAGGCAGTCAGATGGTAACAGCAGCCCACTGGCACTTTGCATTGGTTGCAATGCACCGGCTTGGTGTGCATGCAGCATCTGTGCTGCAGAGATGGCAGCTGGCACCACTGTGTCCTCTGCAAATGGGGACAAAGCACCAGCACCTATGAGCAATGGAGCCCTGACTGGGGCCCCCTCTAGCCTTGTTGTGATACCCGTAACCACAAGGATACTAAAACGAGAGGAGGGGAAGGTCTGACACCGGGTATGTGACCAGGGTCACTCAGGTTTAGGTTTCTTCTTGGAAGCACTCCGTATCACAGCCACACCAAAAGAGCGGCTCTATAACCAACACCCAGAAAATGCCCACGCCTTGAGGTCAAGAGGGAAAAACAAATGGTGCAAATGGCTGCAAATTCGTTTGTTTTTGGTGGGCTTCACTTATTTACCCCCCAGAACGATTTGCTCTGTGGAGTCAAGCTAGAACAGCAAAGGATTGTAGATAGCCAGAATTTAACGCTGACATTGAAATTTGGCCAAGATCTTGTGCTTAATCCTCCTTCTCCTGTTAGAAGAGCCTCAGAAAGTTTAATGTAGGCTTCCAGGGAATGCCAAATCTCCTGAACAATGAGAGCAGACACTGCTGGAGTGGCTGGGGCCCCTGGCACCCCCAGAACATTGGGGTAAAACAGGTCAGTCAAAAATCCTTTGTTGGCTCTCATCTTGAAGACTGAAATCAGGAACAAAGATGAAGAAAATAACCATCAGTGGTAGCACTAGTAGCAGAAGATCAACAACTGAGCTCAACAGGCTCACCTAAAATCCTTCTGCAAAAGAAAACCAAATTCCAGTAACATCTTGGACAGAGGATTTAATAGAAGGGGCAGCAGGGCCACGACAAGGTGCTGAACCAGGACTCAGCACACCTTCTCTTGGATTGCCCCAATACCTGACCACAGCACTGAATGAACCACCAGGCAGAGCTTGTCTTGCTCTCATGGATCTCAGCTAGGGCAATTAGTGTGAGCTCCCTTTGCTCACCTCATGTGATCCCAATGGCTGCAAGGTAGACACGCCATGGCGGAGGGTTGGGAACCAATGTCCCTCTTCCAGCAGTGAATTCAAGCATCTCACACCTTACATGCCAATGACTCTCAACAACAATGCTGTTGTTTAAGGGGTTCGAGTGATTACCACAACAGAAGCCAAGTACCTAAATCATGAAGATACTTCTAAAAATGACACTCACATTTTCCCAGTCTTGCAGGAAGTTTATTCCCAGCAAACCTCTGCCTCTTTGCAGCCCTCCCTTCCAACCTGGCTCTGCCATGCTCGGTCTGCACCCTCATTAGGATGAGGAAGGGGCATTCAGGGTGCACAAGGCCCCAGCAGGACACAGCTCGTGGCCCATAGCAATTACCCTCAAGTCCAGGCTCCGTGGTTCACCCTGTGAAAACTAGGTCGGACTTTTGCTGCAAGAGTAATTCTCACAAGAGGATCCAAATATGGTAGCAGAGTGGTAACAGAGGAGTGGATTTTGAGGAGTAACAACAGGAAAAGTGGCAACAACACAGACAGAGGGTGGGTGTCAGGGCTTCTCTTGCTTTCCATCCTGCCAGGGGGCTCAGGGCACCATTAGGAGTGCTGCATGAAGTCAACAAATCATAGAATGGCTTAGGGTGGAAGAGACCTTAAAGATCATTGCTTCCAACCTCCTGGACAGGGTTAAAGGTCAGGCAGCCCCAGCTCACAGATCAGGATTTCGATGTGGGAAATGAGTGATAAGAGAAGTGGTTGTTGGAAACCAAAGTGAATCCCGAATTTCACTAGCGAGGGAGTGGGATGAGGGGGAAAATGAAAAAACAAGCGCACACGGTGGGTCACCGCAAGTCTCCGGGGGGCAGGATTTCTCTTCCATCGCATGGAAGAGTGAGATTAAAGAAGAAAGTGGGAGTGGGGTGGGAGGGAAGGGAAGGGGAGGGGGGGGATGAACAAAGGAGATTGGCAGCACAGCTGTTTTGGGAAGAAAAAAAAAAAAAAAAAAAGCCAGCCTTCCTGTTTCTTTAAAGCCGCTCATCTGCGCGGCGGGCCGGCTGCCGGCGGGGAGAGGCGGGCTGCAGGAGCCGCGCACGGACGGACGGACGCACGGACGGACGCACGGAGCGAGCCGGGGCTCCGCTGCCCGACGCGGCCGATCGGGCGCAGATGGGCGGCGGCGGCGGCGGGAGGAGCGGGGCGGCGGCGGCGGCGGCGGCAGCACCGGGAGCGGAGCGGCGGGGCGGGCGCTGAGCGCAACCGCGCATTGCCCCGCGCCATGCGGAGCACGCCGCTGGCCGAGGGCGAGCCCTGGCCTCGCCTCTGTCCCGCCGCCGAGCTCGGGGGGCTGCGGCGGCTGAGACGCAAACACGGCTGCAAAAGTTTCCGCGTGGAGCTCAAAGTGCTGAGCGGGCGGCGGTCGGGGCTCCGCGCACCCCCCGCTCCTCCGCCGCCTCCCCCGGCTCCGCCGCCCGCTTGGGAACCGCGCGGAACCGCTGCGCTCGGAGCCGCCGCCACCCCCCGAGCTCGGCCGCGGGACAGAGGCG